TCACCTGCTTGGAATGGACATGAACAATCACTTGAAGAAGAAAAAACGGTTACTCGCCTTCTCGTAACTGTTGTTCTTCGAGATGTGTTGTTCATGTCCATTCCAATACCCACCCTCTTACCCCTCTGTCGGAGTATCGGCAAGAAGGAACTGAGGGGGTGGAGGGTCGGCTGGCCCCTATATACAGTGCCATGAAGGCGCCACTCCAGGGGGCGCCGAAGCTGACCCTACGGACGCTGCTATAGTAAAATCTTCCGGCTGGCGTGCATGCGGCGCGCGCACACACCTGCTTGGAATGGACATGAACAACACATCTTGAAGAACAACAGTTACGAGAAGGTGAGTAACCATTTTTTAATTCATATTAAAATATTCTTACAAATGTTTAACTGAAAAGCTCTAGTGCCTCCATGGTTTGGAGCAGGGATTTGATAGGTTGCCCTAGTGTTAAGGATGTGCCTTTTGCTGTCTCTAGATAAGTTACAAGCCTCTGAAAATCTATTGGTACATGCTTAGTAGAAGTTTGCTTGCTATATTGTGAGCCTTATTCCATAGGAGGTTCCATTTGCACTGCATGTGCTCCATCTCCTCACAGCACTATAGAGCTCCCCATAGAGCAACAGCATGCCTCATTCTGGGGCTGCAGGGGCCAAGAAGGACTTTTTCTGTAATTGCTCCTCTCCACTGACAGATGTTGTTGTGGTGTCAGGCACTGGAACTGAGAACAATGAGACTGGCTCTTGGACTCTCAGTGCTTCCTCTGCTGTCACCTAAGCAGCAAGGAGGAGAAATCAGTATATTTTCTTTTAGGGCCTGATCCACAGTACACTCAGGTTAATATGTCTTTCCATTTATGTCAAAGGCCTTGGGATCCGACCCTTTCTGAATTGGGATTTTAAAAATGTATTTTATTTATGAAGTTTTTCTGTTCAAGTGATTATGCACATGGATTCCATTCTTCATGCGCATGTGCCCCATGCAAGCGAGATCAGATTCTGTTGGCCAGCAGTGTCTATTTCAGTTGCAACTGTGCCGTATATGTCCTTGTGACCCTCCCCAAGACATAAAGGGCAGAGCAGGCCAACCATCGCTCAGTTCCTCCTTACCACCCATAACAGTGAGATGCCTGCCTTTTCTCTATGCTCAGTGCTGGAGTTATTTAGGATTATTGTTAATCAGTTTGTTTATTTTGTTTAGCTAATTAACTATATAAATATAGGAATTTGCATCTTTGTTATGTTTCAGTAAGACTAGACCCCTATTCTCCTCCATGCAAGCTAGCAGCATGGCAGAAACTAAATCTCCAGGATTCAAGACCAGTCCTTTGTTGATGCTTTGATGCCTATTAACAAGTGGCACTGCCGGTGCCTACTCTACCTTGGAGAGGGACATGTCCATGAGCTATGAGCCATTTGTTTCTGAGAGCACTGAGAGTTAAAGAAGCCCACCTGAAGGTTTTCCTCCTTGAGAGATCAATGCAAGCCTGGTCAGTTTCTGTCTGTTAGTGCCTGATGAGCCAAGACCCCATCCTGAGCTCCTGGGGCACTCTACTCAAAGGCCCCATTCATCTACTATTATTCAAGGACTTGTGTCTTCTGACAAGGGCAGAAAGAAGCACCACTCTAAGGATGAGTGAAGGATCAGATTATAGTTTCTGGTACCTAGAAAGCTAAGACACAAGAATCATCAGACTTCTAACTTGTCTCCGGTTCAATCTTCCAATGGCCAGAAGACTGAGAAGGCCTCTTCTGGTGCCCTGATACAAATCACTAAAAGAACACAAGTGGTGTCACTATATCTGCGGATCGTGCTTCTCTTGGTACTGACCCCTCAGCATCAGGTGCCTTAATTCTGCTGGCCATATATTTGGCCTTGTGTTCCTTGGCTTCCCTTATCAATTTTCTATAATTCGTGATTTCTGGTTTATATTCATTGCTATCAACTTCCCACTTTTTTACTTGTTATGTATTATTTATTTATTTATATCTGCATTCACTTCCCTTCTAAACCAGGTTGTTTTTTAAGCCAGCAGGGCATTCTTCCTCAGTTGTGAGTATATAGCTTTTTGGGCATCTAGTAAGGTGTTCTTAAATGATTTGCAATTATCATTCAAATTTTTATGATTAAATTCTTCCTCCCACCTGATTTGGCTCATAATTGTTTTCAGCTTTGTGAAATTGGTCTTATTAAAGCACTAAGTATATATATATTACTGGTATAGACTTTATTCTGATTGCACATGATAAATGTGATCAAGTCATGATCACTTGTACCTAAGCTACTATTAATTTTTAGTTCTCTGATCAGTTCCTCTTTGTCTGTTAGGATGAGGTCTAATAAAGAATTCACTTGTGTTGGCTGCAACATGTTTTGAGTTAGGAAATTATCATCTATAATGTTTATAAATTCCAAGGATGTTTTTAGTACTGACAACATGAGACCTCCAGCATATGTCACTCAAGCTGAAGTTCCCCCATTATCACATTGCTTCCCCTCCCTAAAACTACATATAGGTGCATAATGAGGTAGTTATCCTATTCCCTAGTGTGATTTGGTGGTTTATAGCAGACACCAACTAATGGCCTATCTTGTGCTTTATCTGTTAGGATATTGATCTATAAGCATTTTAAGATAATTTTCATCTGAGTTATCAATCAACTTCATGATCACCCAAGAACATTAGTGAAAATATGACTCAGACTTTTCGGACCTATGATCTCATGATGCTGTTTGGCTTTTTTCTCCTGTGTTCTATGGAAGGGTGGTTGAAATCAGTGTATCTACCCAGCAAGCAGCACATGGACATTTTGGTCACGGTCCCACAAAAAGTCCTGACCTCATTAAACTGATGGAAAGACCCTCTTAAAGTGCGCACCTCTTCCTACCAACATTCTGGTGACGGATACCTCCAGTCAGGGATCGGGGCTTATCTAGATTACCTTCAAAATCAGGGCCTATGGTTCTCTGAAGAGGCTTGCCTCCCCATAAACGTCGTAGTGCTCAGAGCCATCTGCCTGACGTGCAAAATATTCCTGCCTCTTCTCCAGCAATCCGCAGCACATGTGCTGACAGACAACACCACAGCTATCAAGGTCCTCTCCATTCTCTCAGGAAGCCATGTGACTATTGAATTGGTGCATTCCAAAGCAAATCATACCAGTTGCTTTACACCTTCTCTTCCTTATAAACACCTAAGCTGATCAACTCACCAGGCACTTCTTAGACAACCAGGAGTGGTCTATCAAACAATCAAACCTTCAGAACATCTTTTGCAAGTGAGGATGCCCAGAAATAGACTTGTACCACAGACCAGAACAAGAAGTGTCAACATTCTGTTCCGGAGAGAGTGCAAGCCCAGGCTTCCTGATAAATGCCTTTTTCATTCCTTGGATATCAGGGTTGGTGTATGCCTTTCCACTGATCTCCATGATGCCGAGGGTTCTGAGGAAATAGAGATAAGATGCAGGATAGACCATTATGATAACCACAGTATGGGCCAACCAGTTCTGGTATTGGGATCTGAAAACCTTTCAGCACAGCCCTCCATCACCCTACTAGTTCTGCCTGACAGTCTCCCAGAACAACAGTTGGATCTTGCATCAGGACCCAGCTTCCTTACAACTGAGAGACTGGATACTGGCTGGATGACATAAACTAAAAGAAGCTGTTCAGATGAAGTTTGGAACATTCTGCTCCAAGACGAGAAACCCTGAACCAGACTGACTTATAAAGCTAAGCTGCAAGAGGTATTCTATTTAAGCATCTCAATACTTTCCCTTGACATCAAACAATCTCCCTTTGAGACCTTAACAACATGTTCCCTAATCATCTGTCTATACCACCTATCAATGAATAATGCTTTTTAGTAGCCATTGCATCAGCTAGAATGATAGGGCAGATGCAGGCCTTCATGGCCCTTTATACAGCGTTTTGTAAAGACAGGGTTACTCTCAGGACACATTCCAAAGTTGTTTTAACATTTCAAATGAACTAATCCATCAATCTCCCAGTTTTCTCCCCAAAACTCACTCATCAGCAAGGGAAACTAAACTTCATACACTTGATTTAGTAAGGGCATTGTCAGACAACTTTATCAGGCCAAAATCATTCAGGAACACCTAGATTTTTCATGGCCTTTGCTGATAGAGCTAAGGGTCAAGCAGTATTATCTCAGAGGTTATCAAAGAGGGTCTCCACCTGTATAAGAACATGCTACAAGCTAGTCAGAATAGATCCCGTTAGCCACATTAGAGCTCATTCCACTAGAGCACAGGTAGCTCTGTTGCCTGTTTGAAAAATGCCCATGTCTGAAATCTGCTGGGTAGCTACATGTATTTCAGTCCACACCTTTACAAGACAGTGTTCCTTGGCAGAAGCTTCCAGATTGGATGCCTCCTTTGGTATGGCTGTCCTGCAGGCATTGTTTAAGTAGGACTCCTAGAACCCACCTGCAAGCAAACAGATAACTGTTAGACAACAAGAGTGGAATCCATGTGGATGGACATTCACTTGAAGAAGAACAAACAGTTACTTATCCTTCAGTAACTGTGGTTCTTTGATATATGTTGATATATGATATATGGGTTCCACAACACCCCTCTCCTTCTCTGCTACTTCGGAGTCCTACTTCTCTCAGATTCTGTGTTGGCAAAGGAACTGAGGGATGGTTGGACCCACCCTGAATTTTTTTCCCTCAGTTGGGGAGGGGTTGCGGTCCCAGTGGACACTAGTGGCCAAAAAAAAGCCGACCTTGTGCGCATTGGGTGCAGTCACGCCAAGAGTTAAATCCTCGAGAACAACGCATTTTGAAGAACCAGAGTTACTGTGAGGTAAATAACTGTTCTTTCACCTTTTAAGAATTCATTTGTATCTGCTTCGTATTTTCCATGTGAAATCAGATTCCTCTGAGACATTTTATCAGTATGGAAATAATTAGTGCTTGAAGCTCCATCTTGTCTTTCATTTTGTGAGGCTAAATATATTTTTTGTTTGTTTCACAGCAGTGATGATATAGACAATAATGAAAGTACTGCCAAGGAACTAGAGGTAGGTTATCTAAATTTTACACTGGTTGCTCCTCTCAATAAATATTTTGTTCATTATGGGGTAATAGTATTCTGACAAATGAAATATTCCCAGAGAAAAACACTTTTTTGATCTGCAGATTGAGGTTGACAACAAATATATTACCAGTTAAGAAACTTAAGATACTGTAGTTTTCATCCAAACCACAAATGTGAGCCTGTAAATGCAAAGTTTTAAGGTTCCACCTTAAATATAGAAATACACCTAAAAAATACATCTAAAAAATAGAAATTGTCATGTTCATGGAGCTAGCTGCACCTCTCTTCCCTTTCTGGTCTTTCTCAGTGAACCTACCTCAGATTCTGGGCCTCTTTTGGGGTGGAATCTCAGTTGTTTTACTCTTTGATCAGGAACTGGTTGCGCTATTCTGTGTATATCAGCTGCTTATCATCCTGCAGGTCTGATGGGCTTTTGGGCATCTTCAGGAACCTGTGACCAGTGATATTTACCAACAGACTCGTAAAACAAAAATGTCCCCACATTGTTAAAATTAAGTCAACAGTAGAAAGTTGCATATACTGTTAATATTTAATATTTCTCCCTAATTTTTTAAATCTTTCAGGAAGCCATTCGAGTAATCATTGGAAATCTTGATAATTTACATCCATTTGCTACAGAACGCTTGACAATATTTCCATGTATCCTTTGCTCAGTGGCAAAATAAATAAATTCAGTGAGCCAATCCGTGGGAAATTGTTTATATTATCGCTGTGTGGAATTTATGGGCCAGATCCTCAGCTGGCATAAATGAATATTGAAGTCAATGGATCTATGCAGTTTACATCAGCTGAAGATCGGTCCCTATGTTTGTCTTCAGTTGCAGAATTATTATTTGAGTGCTCACAGTGCTTTTCAATCTTTTTCTAGGGTGGTGGCACCTTATTTGAAATCAATAATTTTTATAACTCTTTACATTTTAAAGTAAAAACATGCCATGTAACAGGAAGCTTGTATAATGCAACCTTTACTAATACATTTGACCTCACAAACTTTTAAGGTTTTGGCCACCTAAAGTTATTCTCAAAATTGTATTTTCTTTGTTTTAGAATTATAATGAAAACTTCCATTACCTTTTGTGATCTCACTGGGGAGAGAAGATGTCAGGCCATGACCCCAGTGATTGAGAAACACTGGAATGCACAAAAGTAAATATTAGCAACACCTGAAATTGCAGTGTTCTTTGAGTATTTATCCATATGGATTCTGCTTCTGTTGTGCCTCTGCTCCATGCATGTGAGGTTGAATTTTCTTGACCAGCAGCTTTGGTTGAGGCCTCACCTGTGCTTTGCACTACCTTGTACCTTTCTTTGGAGGGCGTAAAAGGCAGAGCAGCCCTCAGTTTCTTCTTACCACCCATGGCAGGGAGATGGAATTTCTATAGTTTCATAGGGTATGTCTACACTATGAAATTAGGTCGAATTTATAGAGCTGGTTTTATAGAAATCGGTTGTATGCAGCCGATTGTGTGTGTCCCCACAAAATGCTCTAAGTGCTCTAGTCGGCGGACCGCGTCCACAGTACCGAGGCTAGCATCGACTTCTGGAGCATTGCACTATGGGTAGCTATCCCGCAGTCTCCGCCACCCATTGGAATTCTGGGTTGAGATCCCAATGCCTGAATGATGCAAAACAGTGTCGCGGGGGGTTCTGGGTACATGTCGTCAGGCCCCTCTCCCTCCGTCAGAGCACCGGCAGACAATAGATTCGTGCCTTTTTACCTGGGTTACCTGTGCAGACAACATACTACGGCAAGCATGGAGCCCGCTCAGATCAGCTCACCGTCACCATATGTCATCTGAGTGCCGGCAGACGTCGTACTGCATTGCTACACAGCAGCAGCAGCTAACTGCCTTTTGGCGGTAGATGGTTTAGCATGACTGGTAGCCGTGGGGCTGGCAACCGTAGGGCTGCATTGCACCAGCCCCTTGCCTTTTGGTAGACGATGGTATATTACGACTGGTAACCGTCGTCATCGTACTGCAGTGGCTGTCAATCATGGGCACCTGGGCAGACATGCAACTGTCTCGATGATGATGGCTATCAGTCGTAGTATGCTATTTTCTGCCAATCGCCCGGTATTGTCTGCTAAGCACCCAGAAGAGGCCGAGGGCGATCTGGGTGCTGGCAGACGTGGCGCTGGCAGACGTGGGGCTGCATTGCTACACAGCAGCAGCCCCTTGCCTTTTGGCAGAAGATGGTATATTACGACTGGTATCCATCGTCGTCGTACTGCAGTGGCTATCAGTCATGCTGTACCGTCGGCTGCCAGCTTAAGATGTAAAAAATAGATTTGTTCTGTATTCATTTGCTTCCCCTCCCTCCGTGAAATCAACGGCCAGCTAAACCCAGGGTTTGGAGTTTAATCTTTGGGGGGGACCATTCTGTGTGACAGTTGTTTGTGTTTCTCCCTGATGCACAGCCACCTTTCTTGATTTTAATTCCCTGTACCTGTACGCCATGTCGTCACTCAGCCCTCCCTCCCTCCCTCCCTCCTTCCCCTGGTCCGTCAGATACCAGTTTCGCGCCTTTTTTCAGACCAGGCGCCATAGCTAGCACTGGGATCATGGAGCCCGCTCAGATCACCGCGGCAATTATGAGCACTATGAACACCACGCGCATTGTCCTGGAGTATATGCAGAGCCAGGACATGCCAAAGCGAAACCCAGACCAGCCGAGGAGGCGATTGCAGCGTGGCGACGAGAGTGATGAGGAAATTGACATGGACATAGACCTCTCACAAGGCACAGGCCCCAGCAGTGTGGAAATCATGGTGTCATTGGGGCAGGTTCATGCCGTGGAACGCCAATTCTGGGCACGGGAAACAAGCACAGACTGGTGGGACCGCATCGTGCTGCAGGTGTGGGACGATTCCCAGTGGCTGCGAAACTTTCGCATGCGTAAGGGCACTTTCATGGAACTTTGTGACTTGCTTTCCCCTGCCCTGAAGCACCAGAATACCACGATGAGAGCAGCCCTCACAGTTGAGAAGCGAGTGGCGATAGCCCTGTGGAAGCTTGCAATGCCAGAAAGCTACTGGTCAGTCGGGAATCAATTTGGAGTGGGCAAATCTACTGTGGGGGCTGCTGTGATCCAAGTTGCCAGGGCAATGAAAGACCTGGTGATATCAAGGGTAGTGACTCTGGGCAATGTGCAGGCCATTGTGGATGGTTTTGCTGAAATGGGATTCCCAAACTGTGGTGGGGCCATAGACGGAACCCATATCCCTATCTTGGCACCGGAGCACCAAGCCACCGAATACATAAACCGCAAGGGGTTCTTTTCAATGCTGCTGCAAGCCCTGGTGGATCACAAGGGACGTTTCACCAACATCAACGTGGGATGGCCGGGAAAGGTACATGATGCTCGCCTCTTCAGGCACTCTGCTCTGTTTCGCAAGCTGGAGGAAGGGACTTTCTTCCCGGACCAGAAAGTAACCGTTGGGGATGTTGAAATGCCTATTGTGATCCTTGGGGACCCAGCCTACCCCTTAATGCCATGGCTCATGAAGCTGTACACAGGCACCCTGGACAGGAGTCAGGACCTGTTCAACTACAGGCTGAGCAAGTGCCGAATGGTGGTGGAATGTGCATTTGGACGTTTAAAAGCGCGCTGGAGCAGCTTACTGACTCGCTCAGACCTCAGCGAAAAGAATATCCCCATTGTTATTGCTGCTTGCTGTGCTCTCCACAATATCTGTGAGAGTAAGGGGGAGACATTTATGGCGGGGTGGGAGGTTGAGGCAAATCGCCTGGCCGCTGATTACGCGCAGCCAGACACCAGGGTGGTTAGGGGAGCACAGCAGGGTGCGGTGCGCATCAGAGAAGCTTTGAAAACGAGTTTTGTGACTGGCCAGGCTACGGTGTGAAACTTCTGTTTGTTTCTCCTTGATGAACGCCAATTCCGACCCGCAAAGGCCGATTTTATCGCTAATCCCCTCGTCGGAGGTGGTGTAAAGATACCGGTTTAAAGGGCCCTTTAAGTCGAAAGAAAGGGCTTCGTCGTGTGAACGTGTCCAGGCTTAATTCGATTTAACGCTGCTAAAGTCTACCTAAACTCGTAGTGTAGACCAGGCCTATAGAGTTTAGGGCCAGAAGGGATCATCAAATCATCTAATCTGACCTGCATATTATTGGGTGGAATTTAATGCCCTAACACTCTTATGCTGAGCCCAATGTCTTTAGTTTAACTAAAGCATTTTGGTCCTCAGATAGTGCCATATGCCAGATGTTCTGCCTCGGCCTGGTTTGAGGACTCAAATCTGGTCCCCACCTACCTCCAGCTGCAAAACAAAACAAAACCTATACTCACATAGAAATTTGCATATACTGTTAATATTTTAATATCCCTCCCTATTTTTTTAAATCTTTTAGAAAGCCATTCGAATAATTATTGGAAATCTTGATAATTTACATCTGTTTGCTACAGAACACTTTACTATATTTCCGTGTATCCTTTGCTTGGTGTCAAAATAAATTCAGTGAGCCCATGTATGGGACCTTGTTTAATTTATATTATTGGTATGTGGAATTTATGGGCCAGATTCTCAGCTGGCATAAATCAATATTGAAGTCAAGATAACTATGCAGCTTACATCAGCTGAGGATCTCTCCCTATGTTTGGCTTCTGTTGCAGAAATTTTATTTGAGAATTTACTCTTATAAAGAGACTTTCCTAGTGGGGAGTGGTTCCTCTGTGTCCCCTGTTACTTGCTGCGGCCCTCCCCGGGGCCCCCCCCACCCCAGCTCACCTCTGTTCCGCCTCCTCCCATGAGTGCGCCGCAGCTCCGCTTCTCTCCCCTCCTTCCGAGGCTTGCCGCGGACTGGCACGGCAAGCCTGGGAGGGAGGGGGGAGAAGCGGAGCTGAGCGGCGTGCTTGTGGGAGGAGGAGGAGGCGGCGGCAGAGCGGAGGTGAGCTGGGGCGGGGAGCGATTCCTCTGTGCATCCCCCCTTACTTGCTGCGGCCCCCCTGCCCCAGCTCACCTCCACTCTGCCTCCTCCCACTAGCGCACCGCAGTTCCGCTTCTCCTCCCTCCCAGGCTTGCTGTGTCAAACAGCTGATTGGCGCAGCAAGCCTGGGAGGGAGAAGCGGAGCTGCGGCATGCTTGTGGGAGGAGACAGAGCAAAGGTGAGCTGGGGCAGGGGGGCCCCGGGGAGGGCCACAGCAAGTAATGGGCAAGCGCAGAGGAACTGCTTGTGGTAACATGAATTCGGATGTAACAAGGTAAAGCAGCCCCGTCCCCCGGAGCGCTGCTTTACTGCGTTATATCTGAATTTGCGTTATATCGGACCGCATTATATCGGGGTAGAGGTGTACCAATACAAGATTCTACTGTTTGGACTTTTCATGGACCAAGAATGTTTACCAAATATCTAGCATAATGTGGCAGCTCATCTAAGAAGAGAAGGACAGTACATTTATCCATATCACAATGATTGGCTGACCCCAGGCAAATCTCTTCGACAAATAACTGACTGAATAAACAAAATCCTTGACCTACTTACCACCCAGGGACGCAAAGTAAACTGTGAAAAATCCTTTTACCCCGGCTCATACAGTGGAGTTAATAGGGGCTGTTGTGTGTTCAGATTTAATAAGTCATGATGTCAAACAACTAACTCAGTTAAAGTTTTGTTTAAGTAAAACAGTTAAGCAAAACTTAATAGAGAAAATAAACATACATACCAACTCTGTAACTGGAGAAATAATGGAAGTTTTACTTTAGTTCACTTCTGACTAACTTCCTTTATCTCACCTCTTATATACTAGTTTAGAAAAAAGAAAAAATCCTTTCTTATCCTTGATCTTCTTTTGAATCAGTAAACCAATGATATTTATAACTAATTTATCCCTACTGGGACAATGCATGAGCACAATTAGATCTTAATGCTTAGACATTAATCTATATATTAATGTTTTGCTGCTACATTGATTATAGAACACACCTCCTAAACCACATGTTCCTTGTCCATAAATATTTGTAATTGATAAAATTAGTAATTGACAAAATGAACATCCTTTATGAATTTTATCTATGACAACATGCATCTATAATAACAGGCATCCCTTTATATGCTATATGTGTTTACAGATAAGAGTTAAAATGATCTATTGACCATGAAACTCTTTTCATGATATCTGGTTTACATAATAAGCTAAAAGCATTTTTTGATAGCTTATCTTATTAATCACAGAAAAAACCTGCCCCATATCAGTTACAAGTGGTCCCTATTTGGGCTAGGTCAGCTAAGACAGAGTAAAAGCAAAATGGTTAATTAAGTACAGTCTTACTGATTGATTACAGACATTATTTTCCTGATCATTAGTTTAACACAAAACACTATGATCAGCTAACATTCATCTTATATACAAAGAATTATAAACACAGGACACTTGGGACTTTGGCTTACCTACAAAGGATTATTATAGTTTGGTTCATAGAATCATAGAATATCAGGGTTGGAAGGGACCTCAGGAGGTCATCTAGTCCAACCCCCTGCTCAAAGCAGGACCAATCCCCAGACAGATTTTTGCCCCAGATCCCTAAATGGCCCCATCAAGGATTGAACTCACAACCCTGGGTTTAGCAGGCCAATGCTCAAACCACTCGGCATTCTTGAACTGAAATTCAGTGAAAGCATAACATTCATAGGATTGATTCTGAAATATGGTGGACCTCATCATAAAGTTACAGTCACCTGAGGACTTCAGCAAGAGAGTGTCTCAGGTTTCTAGAGCATGTTACCTCCCATATTACTGTGACTATACATCCCAGACTTTACATTCACCCTTTTTAGAGATGATTCAAGTCAGTTTATTAACCCAGCAAGCACGATCTGGACTTGTAGGTGTCAGTTCCTCAGGAAATTCTATCCTTGCTACACTGGTGGATGGACCCAGAGCAAGTTTGGAAAGGGATAGCTTTCTTCACTCTTTCCTACCAAAATCTTGGTGAGGGTTGTGTCCAAGCAAGGTTGTGGGGCTCACTTAGAGCACGTTCAGACACAAGACATTTGGTGCTCAAGAGACTATTCCTTTCAAGTAAATGTTCTGGAGATCAAAGGCCATCTGCTGAGCATGCAAAGTATTCCTGTTTCTTCAAGGATCAACAATGCAAATCATGACAGACGATACTACTGCCATGTGTTATATCAATAGGCAAGGAGGAGTAAGATCATCCCCTCTCTGTCAGGAGGTGATTAATCTGTGGAATTGGTGCGTACAGTATTCATTTACTCCCATAGCTCTACATCTGCCAGGAACTCAGAATAGCTTAGTATACCATCTCAGCAGGAAGTACTTGAACAATCATGAATAGTCTCTCAAAGATTCAGTCTTCTAAAGAATTGTCCTCAAGTATAGTATCCCTGACATAGGGTTCTTTGTCACCAATTTGAATAAAAAGTAGCAATTGTTTTGTTTAGAGGATGTATCACCAGGGTTCTCTACTGGATACATTTCTGATGTGAGGGCTGATGTAAGCATTTCCACCAGTTCCATTAATTCCCAAAGAAACTAAAATAGGATAAGGCCTCATTAATAATATAGAACTACCATGGACCAGGCAGTTTTGGTATTCAGACCTAGTATCCTTGTTGATGCAATCTCCAATTGCCCTACCAAACCTGATGGACATCATCTGTCAGAACTGAGGCCAGATCCTGCACCCTGAATCTCCATTTCTGTATCCGACACCCAGAATGTTGGCTGGTTGAATGTTACTGACAGAAGCTGCTCATCTCAAGTGCAGGACACTTTGATACAAAGCAGAAAAGTGTCTATGAGTCAACTTTTATAAATCTAAGAGGCAAAGGTCTTCTATTTGGGCCATTCAGTGTCACCTCCTATCTCTCAAATTTTAAATTACTTATTCTTCTGGAAGCAATCTATTCTCTCCATTAGCTCGATTAGAGTCCATTTGGCTGTAATATCAGCCTGCCATCTTCCCTTTCAGGGTTACATTATATTTTCATACCCCCTAGTTTTGGAGGTCTAATTCACATTTTTCATCTAGCTCAAGAACCACCTTTTCCTCCTCCTTAGGATCTTAATGGAGCGTCCTTTTGAATCTGCTCTTTGAATCACTACTCCATTAAGATGGCATTCCTGATGGCCATTACCTTTGCTTGGAGGGTGGGTGAAATTCAAGCCACTTACACTGAATTCCACATTGCCCCCCTACAAATCTCTGAGATTGGAACATTCCTCAAGCATGCAAATGTAGCTGCTTGGACTCCAGGTGAGTGGGCTTTAATACAGAGGGTGAAACTGCTTAGCCAACTAGTAGCAAGTCCTTATGCAATTAGGTACTCTCTTAGGTACTCACTGCTCCATGGTTTGGGTTACTAGATCTGACTTCTAGCTAATCACCAGGTGTGTGATCCACATGAACAAATACTTGAAGACCAGTTCCTCAACTTAAAGTAAAGTGGTTCTTTTAGATGTTTTGTCGATCTGGATCCCATGACCCTACCTCATTCGTCACTACTACAGAGTCCTATATAGCATGGAGAGTCTGTGCTGGTGAAGTAACTAAGTGTTGTTTAGGCCCAGTGCCTTTTTCACCCTGGGCTGGGGAGGTATGTGGACACTTCTGGCTAAAATCCCACCTCGCATGACTGGGGCACATGCACAACCAGAGCAGGATCCACATGGACAAACATCTTGAAGAACCAGTTGTTAGAAGGTAAATAACTATTTTTAATCACATTTTGAACCAGTCAATTCTGTACATTTGATAGTGTACTTATGAAAGGTACTTTAATTAAAAATGTAAATGTGTTACTGTCAATGAAGAACGTTCAAGGGTTTATTCCGATTGTCTTCATGGAGGTGCCGGGTATATTACTTTGAGTGAGGATTTTAGGACTAGGGCCTAGTAAAGAAGCTGCTTGAATCTGGGGTGAAAACACAAACCACTGATAAAAGAAAAAAATGCTGATCATATAGAATTTTTCTTATAAATACACAGATAAGTTAACATACAAGAGTATGGTACATACATTTATATAGGTTTATAAAGGTACACTTTTGAAGCAGTGAATGGAAATTTAGACACATGATTTTTATTCAGCTTATATAATTTTAATGATACATTTTGAAGCCTTAACTCCACTATCCAGATTTAAGTAAATGGGAGAGAGTATCAAAATTGCGATTCAAACATGGGGATACATTTCTTGCTCCATATCCTCATGTTTGCACTATGTATGTTGAACTCAATTCATTTCAGCAAAGTATATTTGTTGGTAAGTTTGTAAGGTTACGGTTAAAGAAATACTGAAAAGAAATGGATACTATTATAGCATGACACAATTGTCACATGTGAAACCAACTGACTTTTCCTATTATAAGGTGGCTTTCCCATGAAATACTAGTTGAGACAGTTGCTGCTTTTTCCTGACCTTGCCTTCCACCTAGCCACTGTGTAGGAGTTGGGTGTCTAGGTGTATAACAGTTTACTCCTGAGGGTGTTCTGCGCCAAAAAATTAAAATTCTGTGCACAATATTTTAAAATTCTGCAAATTTTATTTGTCAAAGAAATATGGAGGCTCCAGCATGGCATTGGGGAGCACAAGCCACTGGCTGCACAGAGGTGGGAGATCACTGTGTAGCTACCCCTCCCCCACAACATGGACTCAGTGAGGAGGCTGCACCCAACCCTGACACAGTGCAAGGATGGGGCCTACCCCAGAAGCAGTCCAGGGTCCTGCCCCTCCGTGCCAGGTGCACCAGGTAGGCTCAGCAAGGCAGGATCCAAATGTGGAGGGGCTTAGTGTGGGGGGATCCAGGTGTGGGTTACGAGAGTTCTGTGTGGGGCAATCTGGGTGCAGGCACCTTAGTGGGGGATCTGGGTGCAGAGGGAATCTGGATGCACAGGGGGTTGGAGGGTTCTAGGTGCAATGGTAATGGGACTCTGGGGGTGGGGATCCAGGTGCAACTGGTTGGGGCTTGGTGGGGTGGGGATCTGGGTGCAGGTGGCTGGTACAGGTGCAGGGGAAGTGGGGTTCATCGCGGGGGTTCTGAGTGTGGAGGGATGAGGCTCAGCAGGAGCCCTCACACCCCTCCCCCATACTCCTGCCCCAGCCCTGATCCCCCTCCCACCCTCCGAACCCCTCGGTCCCAGCCTGGAACCCCATCCTGCACCCCAAACCCTTCATCCCTAGCCCCACTCCAGGGCCCTCACACCCCCCGTACACCAACCTGGAGCCCCCTCCCACAGCGTGAACTCCTCATTTCTAGCCCCATCCCAGAGTCCGTACCACCAGCCGGAGCCCTCACCCCCTCCCACACTTCTACCTCCAATTTCGTGAGCATTCATGGTCCGCCATACAATTTCCATACCCCGATGTGGCCCTCAGACCAAAAAGTTTGCCCACCCCCGCTTTATCAGCTAGAGTTCTAATTCCAAAAGACTGCTTTCACCCAAATAGACTATATGCCAATTTCTCAGTTTCAGCATGTAGTACGTAAATCCCACATTTACTCTAAATTGCTTGTTTAATTCCATGAAATTAAGCTGTGCTGTAGTAAATATATTTTAAAATTAAGTAATGCAGTTCTTTCCTAAATATTTACTGTATTATATATTACAGGAAAAGAAATAAATATGGATGCTTGTAACTTTGTAAGTAATGTTTTCTTTGAGTTTTATGGTACATGGGCTAGAGAAGGGAATGTAGAAAAACACACTGCTTGGAATTATTACATTGCAACCCTCCGACCCCAACAACTCTATATCTCTCCCCTTTTAGGTCCCAGGCCAACAAGACACTTCAGCATGTGTTTACCTTTAAGCAAATGAGGCCTGATCCAAAACCCATTGTCTTCAGTGGTCTGATATTCCGGGTTGTAATCCACACCAGTGCGGGGCTGGGTTGCCCCTGCTCTGCAACCTTGGGCGTCTCACAATGCTTTGCTCTTGTAGCTTCCAGCTTGGGTTGCTCACAGTCAGCCTGCCAGCAAGTCACACCCTGAGTGTCTGTGTATAGCCACTGCCCTGGTCCAGCAACTCTGACTCCAGCAGCTTGTCAGCAGCACACCATCCACACTCTGGCTTCCAGCAGCTTTGGTTGCTACTTGCAGGTTGACTGCAACATACTCCTAGAAACAAATTTCCCCTCCCCTCCAAAATGTATGTTTTGCATTGTCCAGCCCTATCTTGGACAGTTCAGGTATTTGAGGTCTGTTGCCCCTCTGTATGTAACAGTTTGCTACTTTAAATGTAGTTACCCGTGCAATTCAGTGTAGACACACCATGGGATTATTTTTGATTAAAGACTAAAACAAGTTTATTTAACTACAAAGATATGGGTTTTTAATGAGTACAAGTATAAGGCACTAAAGCCAGAAATATTTGCAAGAGAAATAAAGATAAAATGCTTTTTAGTACTAAAACTTAAACTAGATTTGATTCAAGGTGCAGTCCCTTACCATATGCTCCCAGTAACTTTGCTGACTAAATTCTCAGGCCAGGATCTGCTCCCAAAGTCCAACGGCTGTTTCTTTTGTTGTTTTAGGTGAAAGAGAGAGAGGTGGATAGGGAGAGTTACATTGGGGTGTTTTTACTCTTCCCTGTTATAGTCCAGTCCCCTTTTGACATGCATTTTCCTGAGGGTGACCCCTAGATACACTTCATTCCTGCTGTGAGGACAGAGACAAGGAGATTAGTGGTGAAAGAGGTTCCATGCTGTTGTTTGCTAAAATGCAGATCCGTTTGTTCCTGCCCCCCTTTTCTTGCCAAAGAATAGCCTCTTGACAGGCTCATCAACTTTGACATCTGGCTAGAGATATAAGCTTGTCCTTTGACTTTGAGAAACTGGTTTACTCAGACTTGTCTGGTAAACACGTCAGACCTAATTTCAGTTTATGTTTATACCTTTACATATAATGTTGCCACATACATTTCACGATGACATTATTGACCAGTGAGTTATTAATTTTAAATGATATCTCACAAGGCAAATTTTGTACAAAGATTACTACACAAGTCCAATATTGACTCTAAATTGATCTGTTAAATGGTTTTCTCCATGAGTTGAATCTGCCTTTCATTAATATTTTAAAAATAAAGTAATGAAGTTCTTTCCTAAATACTAAGTATGTTGTACATTAGAGGAAAAAATTAAGCTAATTCTGAAGTGCTTTGTAGGAGTAGGGCCTTAGGGACAGATTTTTAAAGGTACATAGGTGCCTAAAGATGCAGAAACATGCCTAGTGGGATTTTCAGAAATATTTAGGCACTTAACTCACATTGAAATCAATGCACATGTGCTTTTGAAAATCCCACTAGGTGCCTATCTGCATCTTTAGGCACCTGAAAGATTTTAAAAGTTAGGCCCTTACTCTTTGTCCCCACCATCTCTAAAATCCCATATCCTAGCAACTCTCTGTGTTAAGCAGATTTGAACATGGTTGTCTGGAGTGTCTTGTCTTTTGTTTGGCTAGAGAGCTTAGTATTTTGTACATTAATGGTTTCTGGGTTTTCATCATGTATTATATTTTGAAAGTTCTGTGAAATAATATTGATGTTTAAATTTAAATTAATATTTCTATTTAAAAATAAAGAGCCAGACATTTATAAAAAATACAAAGCTGAATCAGTAAAAGTAAAATGATTAGCTTATATTTATATTTTTCTTGAAAAATTAGGTTTTATATTAAAAAATAAAAGGAACAGAAACATTTAAAGTTTGATATATTTTAAAGGTCAAGGATAGAATTGAAATGATAGAAAATGTTGAAACAGAAGTAACAGTGAAGTGGAGAAGAGTGGAAGATCCAGCAGAAATTTCACATGCAAAGCCATGTATGGATAGGTTAGTTGACTAAAAAAGCTTGTTAGTATTCCTCAAGTGTTAACATTTACAGTTTTAATATATCATTAGACTTCCCATAATTCCATTGTTATGCAATCTGTTGTTCCAGTTGATTTTTAACCTTCCACCTGCATTTCATTGGATTTGTCTGTATTTAGGGCAAGATTGTTACTTCCTTTATGTTTCCCTGCAGGAGAGTAAGGGAACATAAGGCTCCTCTTGAATTCCTCTGCGCTAGCTATCCATGTTATAAGTAGCACTTCAGAGGGGAGAAGGAGCCACTACTGCCCTTCTGTGCAGATGGTGCATAGAGTTAACCAGCCAGCACAGCAGAGTCAGTGCAGAAGGAGAAGCATTCGTCACAATGTAAAGGACTGGTAAAGATTACTTCTCTGCCAGAGCAAGGGAGAAATTAGGGACATGTTGTGGCTTTGAGTTCCAGTCTGCTTCATGGTCTGCTTCTGGGGCAGCACAACTAAACGCTGCCACTTACTGAAGGATTATGGCAAATCTCCAATTTGAATATATAGTTTTCAAAGTACTTTGGGATCTTTCAAGGTGTGTGTGTGTAAGATATTACCACAGTTCCATATTTCTAAGTCAGGAAGATTCACACTCTATTTGCGATGCAAAAAAATAACCTGTAACCTTTGTTCTTCATCAAGTGATTACATATGTCAATTCCACTTCAGGAGTGTGTACTCCCAGTGCACTGAAGCTGGAGAGATTTTTCCTATAGTAGTACCTATAGGATGGCATACATGCCCACTGCACTTTCATGCTGTCAGCTCATGGTATAAAGGAGCAGAGCTGCCAGACCCTCTGTCAGTTCTTCAAGTGATTGTGCATGTCCATTCCACTTCAGGCATGTGCATGTCCAGTGCTCCAGAGTCAGAATTTTTTCACTTAGCAGTACCTGTCAGGGTGGAACATTCACTCTCCACTGCCTTGTGCTGCTCCATGATGGTATAAAGGGTGGAGTTACCCCAGATCCTCCTCAGTTCCTTTTTACCAACTATGATTGGTGCTTGGAGCATGGTAGCTTGCTTCTGCAAGTGTTCTCCCTTTCCAGGGAATTTGTTTCTCTCTTGTATATTGTTAGAGGTATTCATTTTCATATTTAGTACTTTGGTGTAAGTTTCATTTGTTATGTTTTCTTAGAGTGTCGGTTCCTGCTTGTTCTGGGTGCTGACACCTGGTACCTGGCGTATGATGTGTAACGGTTGCAAGAAGTCTGTGCCAGTAAGCGACCCTCATTCCATGTGCCTCAAGTATCTTAGTGAGGGTCTTGTCAGATCTGCGGAGACCACAAGCCCCAGAAGAAAAATGATACGGAGGTGAGACTGCAACAACTTCTTATGAAGGCCACCCTGCATCCACGTTCTGAATTGTCCTGCTCAGGCACCAAGTACTTCTGTCTTGGTTAGAAGTGCATTGCAAAACTCGGTGGTTTGAGCATTGGCCTGCTAAACCCAGGGTTGTGAGTTCAATCCTTGAGGGGGCCACTTGGGAATCTGGGGCAAAATCAGTACTTGGTCCTGCTAGTGAAGGCAGGGGGCTGGACTCGATGACCTTTCAAGGTCCCTTCCAGTTCTAGGAGATGGGATATCTCCATTATTATTATTATTATTAATTTAGTGCCAAGGCAGAAGCACAGACAA